TTTGTGAGCGGTCCGACTGAGCTGGGCAGCAGCTTGTCAGTGAGCAGCTTTGCCGACTTGCGGTCGTCCTTGTCGGTCCGATCCTTCGCTCGCCTCGGTTCGTCGCTTTCGGTTCACAACGTGGCGCGTCTGGGGGCCTCCCTGTCCGTCTTCGACCACGTCATCCTCGGCAGCTCCCTGTCGCTGCGAGACATGGCCACCATCGGCAGCTCTCTCTCCGTGAGATCACTCACGTATGTGGGCGATCGGCTGTCTGTCCACAAAGACGGCGTCATCAGCGGCGGATTGGCTGTTGACGGCCCGCTTCAGCTCGGCTCCTCTCTTTCAATCGACGGTCCATCTGCTTTGGCGTCTTCCCTCTTTGTGAGCGGTCCGACTGAGCTGGGCAGCAGCTTGTCAGTGAGCAGCTTTGCCGACTTGCGGTCGTCCTTGTCGGTACGATCCTTCGCTCGCCTCGGTTCGTCGCTTTCGGTTCACAACGTGGCGCGTTTGGGGGCCTCCCTGTCCGTCTTCGACCACGTCATCCTCGGCAGCTCCCTGTCGCTGCGAGACATGGCCACCATCGGCAGCTCTCTCTCCGTGAGATCACTCACGTATGTGGGCGATCGGCTGTCCGTCCACAAAGACGGCGTCATCAGCGGCGGATTGGGTGTTGACGGCCCGCTTCAGCTCGGCTCCTCTCTTTCAATCGACGGTCCATCTGCTTTGGCGTCTTCCCTCTTTGTGAGCGGTCCGACTGAGCTGGGCAGCAGCTTGTCAGTGAGCAGCTTTGCCGACTTGCGGTCGTCCTTGTCGGTCCGATCCTTCGCTCGCCTCGGTTCGTCGCTTTCGGTTCACAACGTGGCGCGTTTGGGGGCCTCCCTGTCCGTCTTCGACCACGTCATCCTCGGCAGCTCCCTGTCGCTGCAAGACATGGCCACCATCGGCAGCTCTCTCTCCGTCATGTCATTTGCTCATCTCGGCTCCACCCTTAGCGTCTCCGGCGACGCTGTGCTTTCGGGCCTACTCTCGGTTAGCGACAGATCGTCTCTGGCGTCTTCTCTGTCTGTTGGCGGCCCGACCGAGCTCGAAAGCCAGCTAACGGTCCACCACAATGCGTCGATCCTTGGGAGTCTCAGTCTCAGCTCGGCTGTATATCTAGACAAGTCTGCCTCGCTTCTGTGGGACTCGTCGACTGCAACGGATCCTGAAGTTCTCTTCGCATATGATGACCCACCTCAGCTAACCTTCAGAGTCTTCAATGCATCAAATGCGAGGTTAGAAGATGTATTACAGATAACGGCGTATGGTGGTGCATTTCTCGGGTACTGGGATCTTCCTGTATACTACACGCTATCCATAAATCAGTGGCTACGTGTAAGCGACATGAATATTCTATTCTGCTCCGCACATACTCAAAACCGCCGTTCCTTCCATGAGTCATGTCATTGCATCATCGACGGCTGTGTGTATCTCATTGAATTTCGTTTTCATCAGATGGGCAGCACTCTGTCTGTCGACGGCTCATCGGTTTTCCTTGGACCCATATCGGTCCAGCCATCAAAGCTGAGCCATGTCGGGAGGTTGCGGGGTCAGAGTGAGGCGGTGATGGAGAGCTCGCTGTCTGTCAAGGGCTACACAGCCCTCGGCGGCACGCAGCCGGCCCTGAGCATCAAAGACTACAGCTTCGCAGACATTACGTCGGCAAACAAGGCGGGGGGCCTTCTGGCGGGCGATTGGCTGCTGGGTGATGGGGTGTCGACGAATGCCAGTTTCACTGTGACAATGGGCACCGATCTGGACGTCCTCGCGGGCGGAACGCTCACTGTGGAGACAGGAGCGACCCTTGAGATACTCGAGACACTCGACCTGGGCACCAGTTTGTTAGTGAGCAGCTTTGCCGACTTGCGGTCGTCCTTGTCGGTCCGATCCTATGCTCGCCTCGGTTCGTCGCTTTCGGTTCACAACGTGGCGCGTTTGGGGGCCTCCCTGTCCGTCTTCGACCACGTCATCCTCGGCAGCTCCCTGTCGCTGCGAGACATGGGCACCATCGGCAGCTCTCTCTCCGTGAGATCATTCACGTATGTGGGCGATCGGCTGTCCGTCCACAAAGACGGCGTCATCAGCGGCGGATTGGCTGTTGACGGCCCGCTTCAGCTCGGCTCCTCTCTTTCAATCGACGGTCCATCTGTCTTCTTGGGCACGCTTTCTGTTGATGCGTCTCGGCTGACTTACGTTGGAGAGTTGCGGGGTCAGAGTGAGGCGGTGATGGAGAGCTCGCTGTCTGTCAAGGGCTACACAGCCCTCTGCGGCACGCAGCCGGCCCTGAGCATCAAAGACTACAGCTCCGCAGACATCACGTCGGCCAACAAGGCGGGGGGCCTTCTGGCGGGCGATTGGCTGCTGGGTGATGGGGTGTCGACGAATGCCAGTTTCACTGTGACAATGGGCACCAATCTGGACGTCCTCGCGGGTGCAACGCTCACTGTGGAGACAGGAGCGACCCTTGACATACTCGAAACACTCGACCTGGGCAGCAGTTTATTAGTGAACAGCTTTGCCGACTTGCGGTCGTCCTTGTCGGTCCGATCCTATGCTCGCCTCGGTTCGTCGCTTTCGGTTCACAACGTGGCCACAAAGACGGCGTCATCAGCGGCGGATTGGCTGTTGACGGCCCGCTTCAGCTCGGCTCCTCTCCTTCGGTCGACGGCCAATCTGAGCTGGCGTCTTCCCTGTCTGTTGGCGGGCCGACCGAGCTCGAAAGTCAGCTAACGGTCCACCACAATGCGTCGATCCTTGGGAGTCTCAGTCTCAGCTCGGCTGTGTATCTAGACAAGTCTGTCTCGCTTCTGTGGGACCCATCGAACGCAACCGACGCTCGAATCGTCTTTGAGTATGATAACACTCCCCAACTGACCATCAAAGTGTACAACTCGACGTTTGCGGAGATGAAAGATGTCTTCAAACTGACACCATATAGTGGTGCGTTCCTCGAGTACTGGGACCTCCCGCGATACTACACCTTGTCCGTTGATCAGTGGCTCAGAGTAAGGCGGCGACGATTAGCAGATCTCAGACATGCTTTGGGCTGTATGGTCTGTTAACTGCAATGTGTGCAGGTCGGGGAAAGGCTGTCAGTCGACGGTCCATCTGAGCTAGCGTCTTCCCTCTCTGTGGGCGGTCCGAGTGAGCTGGGCAGCAGCTTGTTAGTGAGAGACATGGCCACCATCGGCAGCCCTCTCTCCGTGAGATCATTCACGTATGTGGGCGATCGGCTGTCCGTCCACAAAGACGACGTCATTAGCGGCGGATTGGCTGTAGACGGCCCGCTTTAGCTCGGCTCCTCTCTTTCGGTTGACGGCCAATCTGCTTTGGCGTCTTCCCTGTTTATGAGCGGTCCGACTGAGCTGGGCAGCAGCTTGTCAGTGAGAGACATGGCCACCATCGGCAGCTCTCTCTCCGTTATGTCATTTGCTCATCTCGGCTCCACCCTTAGCGTCTCCGGCGACGCTGTGCTTTCGGGCCTACTCTCGGTTAGCGACAGATCGTCTCTGGCGTCTTCCCTGTCTGTTGGCGGGCCGACCGAGCTCGAAAGCCAGCTGACGGTCCACCACAATGCGTCGATCCTTGGGAGTCTCAGTCTCAGCTCGGCTGTGTATCTAGACAAATCTGTCCCGCTTCTGTGGGACCCATCGAACGCAACCGACGCTCGAATCGTCTTTGAGTATAATAACACTCCCCAACTCACCATCAAAGTGTACAACTCGACGTTTGCGGAGATGAAAGATGTCTTCAAACTGACACCATATGGTGGTGCGTTCCTCGAGTACTGGGACCTCCCGCGATACTACACCTTGTCCGTTGATCAGTGGCTCAGAGTAAGGCGGCGACGACCAGCAGATTTCAGACATGCTCTGGGCTGTATGGTCTGTTAACTGCAATGTGTGCAGGTCGGGGAAAGGCTGTCAGTCGACGGTCCATCTGAGCTAGCGTCTTCCCTCTCTGTGGGCGGTCCGAGTGAGCTGGGCAGCAGCTTGTTAGTGAGAGACATGGCCACCATCGGTAGCTCTCTCTCCGTGAGATCATTCACGTATGTGGGCGATCGGCTGTCCGTCCACAAAGACGGCGTCATTAGCGGCGGATTGGCTGTTGACGGCCCGCTTCAGCTCGGCTCCTCTCTTTCGGTTGACGGCCAATCTGCTTTGGCGTCTTCCCTGTTTGTGAGCGGTCCGACTGAGCTGGGCAGCAGCTTGTCAGTGAGAGACATGGCCACCATCGGCAGCTCCCTCTCCGTGAGGTCATTCACGTATGTGGGCGATCGGCTGTCCGTCCACAAAGACGGCGTCATCAGCGGCGGATTGGCTGTTGACGGCCCGCTTCAGCTCGGCTCCTCTCTTTCGGTCGACGGCCAATCTGCTTTGGCGTCTTCCCTTTTTGTGAGCGGTCCGACTGAGCTGGGCAGCAGCTTGTCAGTGAGAGACATGGCCACCATCGGCAGCTCTCTCTCCGTGAGATCATTCACGTATGTGGGCGATCGGCTGTCCGTCCACAAAGACGGCGTCAT